AAATGTAGCTTTTAAAGCCAAGAAATGAAAATGTAATTAGATCATTTTGACCAAATTTGACTTAATCCTCTTTTTGATATGATGGGTCACAAATAATATTTTAACATCTTTGACTTGCTAAATTTTTTAAACCGATTTTATTTTCACTTTCATAGTTTTATCTTCAACTGCTTGTACTTTTAACTTTCTTGGATGTTCATAGAAATGTTTTTTACCAGCTTCTAGCCAAGATCCTGATGTTTCTGTAGAAACCAAACACATCTGTGTTGAACTAAAAGYAKTTATAAAGCYGAAAACTGTGGGTTTGGGCTGAAGAGATGAATGAAGCAACTCACAGGCTGCCAGTAGAATATTCCTGATGTCAAAGATTGAGAAATGAAGAAGAGGGCAAACACTTTGACTCCACCATGTGCAGTAAAATTTCATGTTAAACTGGTGTGGAGCAATAATGAGCAAACTTTACATTACATGTTTGAACATGTGACTGCTGAAATGCTTACACTTTACCATAACTGGGGATTTGAGTGCAGAAAAATCCGAGCTCCTTCACTGCCATTATCCACAATCTGATTGGATTATGTTTGAAGGTCAGATTATCTGCAAACTCTTCATCTATCTCTTTATTTTATTAACAGTTGATTTTATTTCCACCAGGGGTCGCCGGTCACCCTGTGGAGGCCTCTCAGTCGTCCCAAGTCAAAGCTGAGGGGGTTCAGTCCAACGGGCCGTCTCATCCAGAGGAGCCTCCTCTTCCTCCTCCTCTTCCTGACGCCAGCTCCAACGGCTGCAGCCAGCTCGGCTCGCCCAGCCACGACAGGAACGGCTCTCTGGAGCCTCTGCCGGACCACAAAACCCCAGCAGCCCTGGCGCCCGACAGGCCCGCCAAGAGGTGCAGGACAGAGGCGGAGCCACTGGGCCCTGGTGACGTGGAACCAGCCAGAACACACGAGAACTGAACGGACTCGGCAAAAAGAAAAAAAGACTCTGATGTAGGGGGACAGCTTCTCTGCTCAGCTGAGCAGAGGAGGAGGAGGAGGAACCTGAGCCGACTCCAGGTTCCCGATAGGCTGAGGAGCAGCCCCTCCCCCTGCCCTGCCCCCACAGACCGTCTGCAGAGCTCACCCCAAAGTACCACAGCAAAACCATATCTGAACTCACCCATCGTCTCTAGTCTGGGTTTTGGAGAGCGTCAAAATTTAGCCAAGACTTTTCTTTTACTATTTGTACTTAAATTACCAGCCATTATTTTTTTACACAGGAGATATTTATATTTTTTCACCTAAAAAAAGAGAAAAAGAACCGTTGATGGCTGTTGGCGTTTTGAAACCGTTTTGTTTGCTGTTGAAGAATGTTGGAACCACAACGATGTAAGAAAAACAGGAGCCGGGTCCGCGCTGCTGGACCCGGCAGAACCGACCCCGGCAGAACCGACCCCGGCTCCTGTCCGTCGGTGAATAAACCTGCAGGTTTGTTTGTGAAGAGCAGCTGACATCAGTGATGTCCTGTAATATAACTCACGTAGACCTCTGTATTTTTTACATTTTCAGAGTTCGATGCTTTGTTTGTACTAGACAGAAAGTTTGTGACCTCACCTGTAAAGTCTGTACAGATTTCTTACCTTTTTCTCTCTCTCCAACGTGTCTGGCTCTTCTGGTCTCTGTGTTTATGTTGAGCAACTTCAGTTCAGAGTTTCTCTAAAATGGACGTAATTAAAAATCTTTCCTGGTCTGACAGAACTTCCAGACTTTGTAACGTTGCTCGGTTTGAGAGTTTGTGTTTCGCTTTAAAATAATAAAAACTGTTGGTTCTTTCCAGAACAACCTGTTCTGGTTCAGCAACTTCTCAGCTTTTGTTTTACTTTGTGCTCRAGGTTTTCTCAGCAATGATTCGTGTAAAGTTTTCTTTTCCTGACAAATAAAGCGTATTCAACAACTGCTCATTAACAGTGCAGCTGAATAGTTTTGATAAATGTCCACACGTACTTAAAAATATTTATTTTGATCATTTCTTATAAAAAAATGTACATAATTAAATATGTAGACTGAAATGAAAATCATTACATTATAAAAAAACACACTGATTTAAACTAATTAAGTAAACATGTTGCTGTTTATAAAAGTGAGGATTTTTCTTCAGAACCTCGAGGATCAGATCCGGACTTTGAGTTACGCCTTCTCTGTAATCCCAAACATTAGTAYTCAGATTACAGATCCTTGCATATAAAAACAGTGATGTTAGTCTGAGGGTTTTAGTCTGGACTCACTGGTGTGTTCCTGTGTGAAGGTGATGTAGGAGTAGACCAGGCTGCCGGCGATGCTGAGGAGAAACATCACCTGTTAAATGTCTTCAACAGAACCCAGCAAATAATCTGAACATCAGCACTGACCACTGAAACTTTTCTATAGTTAACTTCCTGGCTGGACTCTACTACAGTGGGGAGAACAAGTATTTGATACACTGTTAATTTTTCAGGTTTTCCCACTTGCAAAGCTTGTAGATGACTGTAATTT